AAACATTCACTCTCTGAAAGGTACAGTTGTGTACAGAAGCCCAACGGGCTGGCTAGGAGTGTCACAGTCATACATGCACTTATATAACTGACCAGCAAGCCAAGACCCAAGGTGGACTACAGACAGAGGACACTGGGGACCTGAGCTGGAGACCCCGCGTTTAGCAGGAAGATTTCTGTACGCCGTACAACAGTGCCACCTAGTGGAGCACACTGGTAAAACGCCCTAACAAAACTGCTTCAGCCCGCACCACTGTTGGAGAAGAGGCACAGTTTTATTTTAATGGGATTCTTGGCTCTTTAAAGCACAAAGGCGCAAGACAGGCTGTGTCCATCTATCTGATCACTGTTCAGACTCCTGCATGCCTAAGAGCCAGGCTCCTGCAGAGGACATAGATACAGGCCCCAAATATCAGGGTCACCCATCTGCTTCAGCTGAAGGCACTCTGTTCACTGCTCGTGTAGCAGTTTACTGAGTGAAGGACATGCGAGGAAACAGCAGGGATTCTTGTCTACAGGGCTGTAGACAGCAACGCCTGAAGGAGACTTTCCAGACTGAAAGGTAGGAGGAACAGTTATGTTGCATGACAGGTAGTGACCAGTCCTGCTCTGACAGGCCCAGTGAATTCGGTTTTAAACAGATTCTGCCTTACAGCACTTGTGCACATTCAAAGACCAACAAGTGGTGAAAAACGTGCGACACAGACAAGCATGAGGTCTGATGTGCAGCTGCAGTTCGACCTGGAACAGACAAGGACAGCAGGAGGGCCCGACCCGACCCGACTCTCGGGCCTTCTGAACACCTGGGTCTTGAGAGAGTCACCTGAAAGGATGACCTCGCGCTCAACAATGGGAAGGAGATCCAGGGTCACTCTCGGAAATGAACAGGAGATTTGTTTCGGACCGAGATCTTGAAGCAGCTTGTCACACGAAGGCTGGCGGGCGTCAGGAACACGGTGCTCAGCTCTGCATGTCTGGGATTCAGTGGGAGACAAGCCGGAGGAGAGGGGCTCGGTGGCGACTCTTGGCTGCAGACAGTCCGTGACCTTTGCCCTGATCGCCCTGGCCCGTTCGGGCATTTCTCCCCACCACTCCCCGCTGACGACAGATCAGGCTCACAGCTGCAGCAGGAAACACCACAGGGCCTGAGACAGGTCCTGCACACCACGACTCAAGACAAGGCCTTCAGCCGAGCGAGGTTACCTGTCCTCTGCTGGGCGTCAAGTATAGTCGAGTCTGAGGCTGCTTTTGAAAAGCTTTGCTTAATCAATGGCCTGTATCTGATGTTCTATGACTTGGTACGCTGTACTTTTTTTCATAATACTTGAATTGCTTCGTATTTCACTGCAGTTTTTTTTTTCTTTTATCCACAATCAATGTGATCATTATGCCATGACTGTTGCCTCACATGACCTCAGAAACATCCTGTGATTCATTTACCCAGAGCCCCACGGCTACAAACGATTTGACCGACCTCCTTTTAAATGTTCTAAAACAAAGCTGTACTTTACAAAACACACACCCCACTTTCTGGAGAGGCTGCACAAAGTTTGTAAAAAAAAAGTACATTGTAAATGTATTATTTTATAACAAATTTGTAAAAAAGAATATTAGCACAGAAAGAAAATCCAGTTTCAGGTTATGAAACCCACAAGGCGCGGCCTGCGTTGATCTGCAAAGTGTCATTTTCTCATCTGCAGCTGAAGAGCACAGGGCCTCTCCGCACAGCACTGGTCACTGTCCCCTGGCAGGACAGCAGGACCACCGGGATGACCCTCCGATCTGCACCAGGAAGGGTCAGCGTCTTTAAAAACCCAGCCAGCCGAGGGAGGGAGCCATGATGTCCTCTTTCAGCTCTGCTGGCAGCGCACAGACTCTGCACCCCATTCCCTTCAGGCAGCCGAGAGGAAAACCCAAGTCGCCCACAAACCCAGTCACACAGCAGGGAGTGTACCGAGCAGTCCGAGCGAGCACCCTGCCCACGAGTGCACCCGAGACCGGAGCCAGAGCTGTCCTGCCCGGATCCCTCTGCACCACAGCCGGTACACCATCCAACAAAGCTGCCCTGCCTCCGTATCCACACCGCTGCTCTGGATAGGAACACGCCATGCACCACACTCAGGACCCCTGGGCAAGACAAGAGAGGAATATTTCTGATGTGCCGAGACTGAGCAAGAGGAGACTGGAAGGACGCCTACAGAGAGACCTGAGGCCGAAGAAACGACTCGTCGCAGGGCGGCGCGAGGCAGGGCCAAGGGGTTTCTCCTGCGCAGCCCATGTCAGTCGCTTCTCAGAAAGCAAGCCCTCTCCAACCTGCTGCACACCGGAGTAGCAGAGAAGCTGGCGGGAAGAGAAGGCAACAGGAAGAACTCAATAAGACGGAGCACGACGCAGCGCGCGACTCCGACGGCGGATGGGCAGCCCGTCCGCGGCGTGAACTCACTCCAGGTACTTGAGGCCGCGGCAGGACGTCCACAAGCACCGCAGCGCCTCCGCGCAGGACTCCGGCCAGTCGTTACCGCCCAGCCGCAGCTCTGTCAGGGTCCGGGTGCCCTCCAGCGCCACCTGCAGGTGAGGCAGGGCGCCGTCACTCAGCACGCACCTCACCAGGCTGCGGGAGACAGAGCACTGGCTGAAAACACGCAGCTCCGTTACAGCACAGGGCAAGAGGCACAGTCTGTACTGCCTGTGCCACTGAGGGAGGAGCGTGTCTGGACTCCTTTACTGTGAGTCTCGATTCCTGTTCCTTCGAAAGCAAACTCTCTGCTCCAGACAGTCAGACACCG